TACCACTTCTGGATTCTTCATCCTTGCTTGATTTCAGAGACACTACAGACTTCTGGTTCTTCTGTCTCTTTTCCTTGTTTGTTTCCTTCATTGACTCCATAGCCTTTTTCCTGACTTCTTATTGTAGGTATTCCGTGAAGTTATGTCCTTAACCTTCTCTTCTCTCTGTTAACTATTAATCCTATGGCTTTAATTTATGAGATTTTTTTTTTGTTCTGAACTAGACAAACACCAATAAATAAGAACATTTTCTTATACAAAGAACAGAAAAGGCATTGTATATGAAATCATAAATACTACCTATAGCTTGTATTTTAAAAAGATATACAGTTTGACCCACTAATTTCAAAGCTGTCTCACTTATCTGTTATCCTCTGAACCTCTTTCTGCCTTCTCATCTTTTTTGTTCACTTCCTTTAAATATTTTATGTATGCTCTCTCTCTCTCTCCTTTTTTTTTTTAACATTTCTAACAGTAGCTCCTTTTCCCCTACATTCTTCCCCTTCACACCAAAACAAAACCCAAAGCCATTCCCTTATAACAAGTATAGTTAAGCTAAATTAAGCTAAATAAATTCATACCTTAGCCACATCTGAAAATGTGTACTTCATTCTGCACCTCTGCCAGTGCAGATTGATGCCTTTTTTTCCAACATATAGTCTTACAAAGCTGGCTGAAACATTGAGAAGTTAACTGTTTCCTCAGAGTTATATAGCCATTATATGTCATATGTAGAACTTAAACCTAAATTTTCCAGACTTCAAGGTTGGTTCTCTATCCACTGTACCGTGCTGCCTCTCTCTCTCATCCTTATAGTTCTTTGCTACAACAAAAACTGCTGCTACGTATATTTTTGTACATACAGGTATTTTTCCTCTTTCTTTAAAGTGTCTATTTAGCATTTGTATCACTGGGTCAAAGTTTAGCACAGCTAAATGAATTTTGGGTTGTAATTACAAATGCTTCCTGTAATTGTTGAAACAATTCACAGCTCTCCCAACAGTGCTTTAATATTCTGGTTTTCTCTTGCATCCACTGCAAAAATTGTCATTTTCTTTTTTTGACATCTTTGCCAATCTGAGTGTGAAATTGAATCTCAGAGTTGTTTTAATTTTTATTAATCTTCTTATTAGTAATCTGGAGCATTTTTATATGTTGTTGATAGCTTGGATTTCTTCACTTGAGAAATGCCTATTTACGTCATTTGACCATTTATCTATTAGAGAATGGTTCTTGTCTTTGGAGGGCTTCTGAGGGCACACCATATTAATGTTGCAGTTGGTGTAGACATTCAGTTGGCTTAGCCCAATGCAGCTCAGAACTCCTGGGTTCAAGAAATCCACCAGACTCAGTCTCCCTGGAAGCAAGGATTATAGGTGTGCAACCCCCAACTCCACACATTCTTCAAAGCCCAACTCAGATGTTAACCTCTGTTAGGAAGTCTTCTATGGCCCTCCTTGTTGGTAGTAGTGTTCTTTCACAAATCCCTCATAGCACTTTATTTTTTTTTTTTAACTCAAATATACTTATATTCAACAACTTGATGTTTTATACCCTTGTTATACTACATAAGATACAAGAAAGCAGACTGTCTTTCTTAACTTATTTCCCAGTGCTTAGCACAGCCCTTTGTACATAACAGGTGTTTGATAAATATTTATTGAATTAATTTTTAATTGGTATTTTCAGACTTTGATTAATCATGCTCCTTATGCTTTTGTTTATACTGTTTATTTTATTCATTTGAATATCCATTCAACAGACTTTCATTAAGCTCTTTGTATGTATACCATACTATGCTGAGCAAGGGGGAAAATGATATATAAAAACCCTTAAACAGCCCAATTTAGTAAATCTGAATGTGTGATTAACTTGTGACCTGGACAGATTATTAAAACATCTTATCCATAAGTTTAATTCTAGTAAATGGAATATTTTGAAAGATTTTTGCACATAACAGTCAGCTTTTTCTGAAAGCTTATGGACAAAATCACTTACCTTCTATACAGTGCTTCCAACAATATGATCACTTCAATATTCATGGAAGTGTAAAGCTTTTTCATCTCTTGGTCTTTAATTGAAAAAAATTTTTTTTCTTTTCCTGAATTTATTGTATCAGAAATTAGCTTTGAGAAAGTACCTTAAAAAAAAAAATCTTGACTTGAACCTTTTTTCAAAGGGTGTTACTTAAATTTAAAATTTTCTTTATAGAGCACTTTCTTTTTTACACAGCATTCCAAATACATTCCAAAACTAATTAGTGTTAATAGTGAAACTACAATGTCATTTACTCTCTCCCTCTCTGAAAAATGTAAAGTCATGGCATCTTGTTTTACTGTAACTTTGCCATTGTGTGACCAAATATTTTATAAGCAAAGGAACTTGGACTTCAAATTTAAAAAAAAAATAGAAGAACCATTTTGGTATGTTACGTTACCTCATAGAGATGTTACATTTGGCTTACAAAGCCATATTTTGCCTGCTTTTATATAAATGTTCTGAATTTGAGCTGTGGTTTGAATGAATTATGAATTTTTCTCTAGAAACAAAATTGATGAGAGATTGAGAGGAAGATGTGGTTGAGAAGTGGTTTTATTTAAGGATTTTTGAAGTGGGTATTTAGCTCTCTCAAACTTTTCCTGGTTATTACCATTACCCTTCTGACCTCCATTCCTCAGATTCTGAGTGTTTTCCAGACTCTTATTGAGAATATATTCTAACTATTGCTTGACCTTGAAACATCTCTTTACATACTAAGTGGATAGGTAAAATATAATACTGCAAGCAAGATATCAGATTAGAATTAGGAAAGAATGTGTAAGGATATATGCATGAAAAAAGTACTATGTCACTAGCCTTTTGTTGCCATTTATTGATTTACTTACATATATAAAATGGATGTATTAAATACCATACCATTTCATTTTAGTGTTAGATTAGGAAGAGTTCCCAAATATTTTTACTGTCTTAAAATTTTAATTTTACTTAAATCATGAACTTTATTGTTTAGATTTTTACAATGTTTTTGTGGCGCTTTCTGTCTTTACCTCACCTTTATTTCAGCTGCTCTAGATTAGACTCTCCCTTGTGACAAAAAAAAAAAAACCCTAACAATTACCATAAACATTTGACACAATGACCACACCGACAGTGTATGATACTCTACTGTGATGGTTCCATGCCTTTCCGACTTGAGGGGGAATGTTTGCTTCATTGTGTGTTCTCTGGGATTTTCATTAATTTTTCAGTTATTCAGAGTTTGACTTCCTTCAAATGATTTTTTTCATTTACATAGTTGTAGATTTTTTTTGTTCTGTTTATTTTATTCTGCTTCTATTCTTACATACATTTCTCTGAACTTCTCATATTTATCTTATTGCACAATAATAATATATATTTTCATATGCCATAGTTTAGCCATTCTTCTAATGTGTACCCACTTTGTTTTTATCTTTTTTCTACCAAAAAGTGTGCTGCCGTTGCTATTTTGGCATATACTTGACCTTTATTTTTGTCTTTGACATCTTTAGGGTCTATACCCAGTGGTGGAATCTCTAGGCCAAAGGATAGGGAAAATTTAGTTACTTTTTTTAAACATAATTCCAAATTGATATTCATAATGGTTGGATCACTTAATGCCTTCACCATCAATGTGTCATTGTGACTGTCTTCCTAACGCCACTCCAATATTGACTGTTCCTGCCTTTTTTCTTTTTTGCCCATTTGCTAGTGTAAGGTAAAACCTCAGAATTGCTTTAATTTGTACTTCTCTTTCAAAATCACATGCATGATTCTTATCTCCAATAGATTTGAAAATGGTGCAAATTTTGATAAATGAATAGCAAAATTCATTTGGAAAAATAAAAGACCAAGAATATCAAGGGAAATCCTGAAAATAATTAATGGCACTTAAAAAGTGCCATTCTATGATTCTATGAAGATTAATATAAAATATAGCATAAATATAAAGAAAGAACGGTGGGTCACCTTAGTTCTGTGGGATATGGGGATATTTCTTATTTTGAAAGACCATCTGTATTTCATATTTGAAGTTTTTATCTTATTCTCCTTTGTTGTACTGAAAAGAGATAACTTCCTATCCCAACTTGGATTGATTAAGCACTTTTTTCAGCTCACATTTTTAGTTTATAAAGTTACTGGTTTAAACAAGGAAATTGATGATATGAGACATTCTTAATACAAAAGTCTCTTTGGCCCTTTAGTATATAGCTGGCTTTATGAAAAGTAATTCTAGGAATTATCCATGATAATCCAACTGTCTCTTCAAAGTTTTGTAGGTTTCCCTTGTATAGTAAGAATTTCTTTTTAAAAATTAAAAATTAAGTTTATTTTAATCCAGTGGCAAGCTATTACGATTTCATTATATTAGAGCAAACATCCTGACTTTCAGTTTATACCTTTTTAACCAGGGTGCCTTGTCCTACCAGCTGTATCCTGGGCCATGTTCTTAGTTCCGCTAGACAGCCTTCCCAGACAGCCTACTAAGAGCAGGGTCCAGCCAGGAAAATGGGATAAAGGAAAACAAATAGTCCTTTCCATTTCCTAGCATTTACCAAATGGCTCTGGAACTACCATTGATATTTCTAACATGCTTAGAAGTATTTGCCAGACTTTCTAATGCAAGCAAAGAAATGAGAAAACTCTCTCCTTTGCTTAGTTGAGCTTTCAAAGAAGATGAAAAACATTACCTAAAATGTACTATTGAACATTTTTGTATACTTACTGCCTTAATCATTTCATCCTGACATGAATTAAATAATCTGGAGCTACTGTACAGATTTATTGATTTCATTTTAAATTCTCTCCAAATTCTTCCAATACAAGGGGAAAAGTTGAGCTAAATACAATCATATAAAATAAATGTTAAAATTCAAAGTAAAATTTGAATAAATCTTATTGCATTTGATTATTTTTAATGTACTGTTTGTTACAAAATGACAGTGATATGTTTACTTTATTATATTTTTTTAATTTTTTAGGTGATCTTCGTCAGGAAATGTTAGATGATGTACAGAACAAATTGATGAACCTGATAAATAGCACAGAAGGAAAAGTGGACAAGTAAGGGGGTTTTACTATTTGCTGTTATATTTCACATTATGTTGAGATTTGTTTTATTCAACAAATGATTTTTAAAATTTAAAAAATTGTGATATGCAGATAAGTATTAATATTGTTTCATGTAATTTGTTCAACTTTTCATTTAATTTGTGTTTTCTTTATGATATAAATATTAATTTAATTATATAATTTAATTTATTTAATTATATAATTTAATTATATAATAATTTAATAGTATAGGTACTTCATTATTTACTCTTTTGCAATATTTTTTCACCCTAAATTTTTTGGGAAACTTTATTTTTGCTAAAATGTTATTAGAAATTCAAAGCAAAATAGAAAAATTCTGTTCATATTTTTAGCCATCAAGTTTTCTTTATTAAAATGGAATTATTGTGAGGAAAGTGCTTTGCAGATCTTAAAATATTATTGAAAAAAGCACTTATTTCACCTTACTCAAACTCTTTGGTTCAGGGACATTATAGTCAGGCTGATATAGTGGAACGAACACTGAACTTGGAGTCAAATGATTTGAATTCAAATCTTGGTGTGATTAAAGAGGTCCTTTGGTGTATTGGCAAGAGTTCTGGCTTTAGAAATAGGAGAACATGGATTTGAATCCTGTCTCTCACACTTAGTGGTGAGTGATCATTGATAAGTCACTTATCCTGAGGAAACCTCAATTTCCTCATCTATTAAACGTGGATGTTAATAGCACCCACCCTGCAAAGTGGTTGTGAGGATCAAATGAGATAATATATGGAAATAACATGTAATATATGGAAAGTGCTTCGCAATCCTTAAAACTGCTACATAAAGTTAGCTATTTTTATTATTTTTTATGTTATTTTTGGCAAGTCACTTAACTGCTCTATGTCAGGTTCTTCATCTGCATAGAATTTGTAATCTATATAACCAGGTCATTAAGAAGAAAACATTTTGTGAACGATAAATTTTAGCTGTTATTATTCATGTATTTGAGAGAATCATTCAGTATTCACTATTGTCCAGTAATAATTGTGAATATGTAAACAAGGTAAATGATTGAAGGGCCTAGAGTTCCCTATTTTTCTTAAGGAAATTTGAGATGTTCATGTTATGGGAAATAATAGGCAAAAACCAACATATACATTGAAAATTAATTTAGAGATGATTTTTCACTTTAAAACATGGCTGCATAACATGGTTATTCAATAAGTTATTATCTATAGGAGGATGTAGGATTTGAGTGTTTTCACTTAATTGAATTTGCTAGGATTAGAAAATGGGAGAGTAGCTAAGAATATTTGGTGCTTGGAAGAATATATTTAGTGATGTTTGTTTTGGAATTAGTATTTACATAGTATTTACATTAGTATTTACATAGTATTTACATACATTCGTATTTATATTAGTATTTACATAGTTGATCTAGATTAATTTTTTTTTTGTCTTTTAGGGTTTTAATGAGAAACCTCTTTGTTGGACATTTCCATACACCAAAGAATAAACGTCATGAAGTGTTAAGATTAATGGGAAGCATCCTGGGAATTAAAAAAGAGGAAATGGAACAGGTAATAATAAAAATAAAATCTAGTCTAAATAAGCTTAAAACTAAAAGTGTTGCTATTTAGAATTGTTTCTTGTTAAATATAAGTGGGAAGAATATTTTTACTTAGATCAGTGTGAAATGATATGATTTTTTTTTTTGGGAGGGGTGGAGAGGCAATTGGGGTTAAGTGACTTGCCCAGGGTCACACAGCTAGTGAGTATCATGTGTCCGAGGCCGGATTTGAACTCAGGTTGTCCTGACTTCAGGGCTGGTGGTCTATGTACTGCGCCACCTAGCTGCCCACATGATTCTTTGCTATAGAAGATTCATTCATGTAGTCTGAAGTTAATTTAATTCAGCAAGCACATTAAATGCTTCTTTTGTATAAAGCTCTATGGGAATGCAAAGATGAAATGAGATAGTTCCTGTCTTTTAGAGCTTATAGTCTACTAAAGGATACACAAATATATACTGATAGGGTAATATATGACAGAATGTGAAAAGTGAAAAGGAGGGAGCTAAACAATATGCTTTGAGGAGGAAGTGATTGCTTCCAACTGGTGCGGTTGGGTGCAAGGGGAAGAATCAGTAAAAGTTTCTGGGGGACACTGCATCAGACTGAGATTTTGAACAAGCTAAAAATGAAGATTGGAATTGGTGGTAGGGAGGAAGGTAGGCAGAGTTAATTCTAGCCTAGTGAGATTGCATTAACGAGGCACCAGGTATAGGAGATAGCAGAATAAAAGAGAATAATGACAGAGTGTGGGGGACAGGGGAACAATTTGACTTAAATATTAGAACATGTGAAGGCAGATAATATGAAATTAGGGTAAAAGGTAGAATCATAGACCAAAGCCCCTTAAGCTTTCTAAATAGAGGAATGATATAATCAGTTAGTGCTGCATTAGAAAAATTGTGTAGACTGCAAATCTTAGGTGTTTAGCATCAGTTAACCCCTCAGAATCTTCCTGCTCTACTTATTTCTTAAAATTTCCCACAGTGAATACTCTGAATTTTTCTTCTTATAATAAGTGATTCAGACTCTCAGTTCACTGGTATTAGTGAAATCTTCCCCCCAAAATTCCTTCAACTCACCTCCTCTCAAAACTTCTCGGTATCTTCACCCACTGAGGAATTCTTAGTCATTCCACTAAAGCTAGTCTCTTTACTTGTGCCTTTACTCCTATGGAATAATTGCTCTTCTGGAACCTTATAGCATCAGTCTCTTCTAAGAATCTTCACTGGCTCTTTCTGTCTACCTAATAACATGATTAGCTCTTAAATGTCCTTGTAAAAACAAAACAACAAAAAAACCCTCTTGATTTTCCAGTCCTGTACATTTGCTTTTCTTTTTTGTCTCTTTTACTATCAGATTCCTTAAAAATGTTATCTATACCTGGTGCTACTACTCTCTTACTTAACATTGTCTCCTTGACCCTTTACAATTTGGTTTTAGCATCTATTCTACTGAAATTGTTCTCTCAAAGGTCATAAATTGCTTCCTAATCCATGGCTTTTTCCCTTATTCTTCATCCTATATTACCTCTCTATAGTGTTTGATCATCACCTCTTCCCCTGGGGACTTTCTCCTTTGACTTCAAAGAACCTATATTCATCTGAGTTTCTTGCCTCACTAACTTCACTTTTTTATGTTTGCTTTGTTGGCTTCCCATCCTATTCCCACTACCCTAACTTGGCTGTTTTCAGAGTTTGCTTTTTACTCTTTCCCTTTTCTTTTTCACTTGACAGTCTCCTTTATCCTGTAGCTTTTAATTACCACTTCTGTCTAGATGACAGTGCTTTCAAAAGCTTCCTCTCCAGTCCTGATCTCAGTCCTGAGCACTTGACCCACATCTTTGACTGTCTATAAGAAATTTCTACCTGGATGTTTCCGTTTTACCTCAAACTGAGCTTGTTATCTTTCCCATTAACCTTGATCTTCCTCCTCACTTTATTATTTCTATTAGCTATTCTCCCATTTTTCTAGTCTTTAATGTTTGAAACTTCAGTGTTGTTTGAGACTGACTCACCCTTCTGCTTTTCCAGTCAGTTACCAAATCTTGATTCTTTCTCTGCAATGTCTAGTATATTGCCCTTCCTTTCTGTTCTTCCTGCAATAATCCAACTTTAGGGTTCATGCCGTCCACCTGGACTTTCATTACTCTCCTAATAAGGATCTTTTCTCTGCTTTTCTCCCCTTTCCAACTCATTCTCCTTGATTTCTGGCCAAGATTACAACATGAATGAGAGGCAGTTGGTCCAGCTCCCATAAATACTGACTCTGGTAAAGTTTGTACTAGGCTGAATAATGATAAAGAAATTGAATGAGAACTACAGTAAAATGACTTATTATTCATTCCAGAACTCTATGAGTCAGCCAGAAGCCCAGAGGTAGTAGGAAAAGGGACACCAGCAATGCCAGTGTCAGTGCAAGATACCCTCTCAGCATGAACAGAGATGTCATGTATGTGGCCAGCAAGACTTTTTGTCTGGGAGCAGCAAGAGTAGAGAGCATGAGGAGCTCCAAGATGGGGACACTGAAAGCACCAGGGAACAGCAGTGGGCAATAACCAGCATGTTGCCATTGCACTCAGACCAAGACAGCCCAGGTCCAGGGGCTCTGAGGTTCCTAACAATGTCCTGAGATTATAGAGAAGGCCCTGAAGAGTGCTCTGAATCTCAAGATCGGTGTAGGAGAGGAGGGAAGGAAGGGATTGCCTAAACTTGGGAGGAGTAGGTCAGCCCAGGAACCTATCTTATCTTGAGTTAGACTAAGTGGGACTGATCAGTCCACCCAAAGGTGCATCAGGAGACAAAGCTTAGCCCTGGTCATAAAGCCCTAGTTCAAGAACTGAACTGCTAGAAAGATGAGAAAATAAAAACATCTTTCCAGTAAAGCTGGAAAGATGAGCTAAAAACAAAAACAAAACAATCAAAAATAAAGTGTCAAAAGTTGTTGGAGAGAGGCAGAGCCTAAATAGCAGAGTAAAGGCAGGGACTTGCCTGATCTCTCCCACAATTCCCTCCAAACAACTTTAAATAATACCTCAAAACAAATTCTGAAACAGCAAAACAAACCAAAGGACAGGGTGAAACAATTTTCAGCCCAAGACAACTTAAAAGGTCAGTAGGAAAGGTCTGTCTCACTGGAGTGAGAGTGGAGCATAGTGAAGCGCAGGCTATGCCATGGTAAACCAGCAGTAGGCTGGAGTTGGGGGGTTGGGAAACTGAATCTACAATGGCAGCTTCTGGAGCTCTCAGCCCACAGATGGTAAGGGGGTCAGAAAACTTGACAGAAGGAGATTATAGAGGATCCTTTGCTGGCACCAGGAGCGTGACTCTGTTACATTGCCCATATGTGGTTCTGGGTCGTAGTCTTAGGTTGAGGAGGAGCACTAGCAGGAGCAGGGACCCTGGACTCTGTTCCAGGGCAGAAAAGAGTACTTGTGATCACTCACAGATCAGAGCACTGACAGGAGAGCAGTGACCACACCTCTTTTTAGATCATACCACCTTGAAAGACCTGAATACTTACAGACCCTCCTAGAACTAGCTCTGCAAACAGCAGCACAAAAAACCTGAACCTTGGGACAGTGCCCCTCCATTCTGGGAGTAGAGACCAACTTTAACATAAAGTTAAAAGTCTAGAAATAGGCTAGAGAAATGAGTAAACAACAAAAAAAGAACCTGACCATTGAATGTTACTATGGTGACAGGGAAGATCAAAATACAAACTCAGAAGACAATAATGTTAAAACAATTACATTCAAAGCCTCCAAGAAAAATGTGAATTCGTCTTGCCCCCCTCCCCCTCCAATTTTTGGAAGAGCTCAAAAAGGATTTTAATAATCAAATAAGAGAGAGAGAGAGAAAGTTGGGAAAAGAAATGAGAATGGGAGGAACCACAAGAAAGAAAAAACAAACAGAAAAAAGAGAGAGCAGATAATATGCTTCAATCTGCATTCAGACTCCGTAGTTCTTTTTCTGAATGTGGACAGCATTTTCCATCATGAGTCCTTTGGAGTTGTCTTGGATCCTTGCATTGCTCGACATCAGTTCATCCAAGTGTTTCCAGGTTTTTCTGCAGTCTGCACAATAGTATTCCATTACGTTCATATACCATTACTTGTTCAGCCATTCCCCAATTGATGGGTATCCCCTCAATTTCCAATTCTTTGCCACCACAGAAAAAGCTGCTATAAATCTTTTTGTACATGTGGGTCCGTTTCCCATTTGTATGATTTCTTTGTCATTTAGACCTAGAAGTGGTATTGCTGGGTCAGAGGGTATGTACAGTTTTATAGCCCTTTGTGCATAGTTCCAATTGCTCTCCAGAATGGTTGGATCAGTTCACAACTCCACTAACAATGCATTAGTGTTCCAATTTTCTTACATCTTCTCTGGCAGTTATCATTTTCCTATTTTGTCATGTTGGCCAATCTGATAGGTGTAATGTGGTACCTCAGAGTTGTTTTGATTTGCGTTTCTCTAATCAACAGTGATTTAGAGCATTTTATAAAAATAATTTTTAACAATCTTTTCTTTAGTTTTGAATTCCAAATTCTATCCTTTCCTCCCTCCTGCTTTTCTTTCCCTCCCTCCTGCTTTTCTTTCCCTCCTCCCTCCCTGAGACAGTAAGCAATCTGATATAGGTCATACATATGCAATCACATAAAACATTTCCATATTAGTCATGTTGTGCAAGAAAACTGTAACAAAAAAAAAAGGAAAGAAAGTGAGAAACAGTATGCTTTGGTTTGTATTTAGACAATATCAGTTCTAAGTTTGAAGGCAGATAGCATTTTTCAACACGAGTCCTTTAGAATTGTCGTCTTAGACCATTGTATTGCTGACATTATATTACTAAGTCATTCACAGTTGATCATCATAAAATAGCGCTGTTACTGTGTACAAGATTCTCCTGGTTCTGTTCACTTTACATCAGTTCATGTAACTCTTTCCAGGTTTTTCTGAAATCACTGCTTGTCATTTCTTATAGCACAATAATATTCTATTACAACATACTGTAGCTTGTTCAGTATGTTCAGTATATAGAACTCCTGGAAAGAGTTAATTCTATAACAGCTGCAGAATTGATTTTTCACTAGGACTACATGAAATGAAGAAATGAATAAAAAATGAAATAAAAATTCTAAAGGAAAGAATTCAAAGGAAAATACATAGCTTAGAATAAAAAGTGATGAATTATCTAAGTTAACAAAGAAATAGACTTCCTAAAAACTAGAATACACCAAAGAGAAATCAATGACTCCATGAGACAAGACATGTTAAAATGAAATAAAGATTGACAAAATAGACAAAAGTGTAAGATATTTTGTATAATAAAAACAACTGACCTGGAAAAGATGTTCAGGGAAAGAGGATTTAAATTGGATTCTCTGAAATTCTCTGGTATTAAAAAAAAAGCCTGGCTACTACATTATATTTAAAGAAATAATAACTATTAGAACCAGAGGACAAAGTAAGGATGGAAAGAACCACTGATTACTTCCAGAAAGCCACCTGAAAAGGAAAAGTCCCAAGAATGTCATAGCCAAAATCCAGTTCTCCAAAGTCAAAACAATGGTGATGCAAAAAAAGATGAAAAAAGCCTATGTAAAAATTTTTAAGGATACAGAGAAGAGAACATAATGAAGTTCAGAAGGAACAGACAAGCAAGACAGTTTGAAAGTAACGTAAAGAATTTATTATGTTCTAAAAAGCAAGTAGTATGGTAATAGAGATTTACAACTTCATATAAACATCTTACTGTGTTCTGAGATGGAAATTTGCTTTTTTGGTTCTTTTCTTCTCCCTCTCCAAAAACAAACACACACAAAACCACAACTCACCTATTTTCCTTATTACTTTCAGACATCATCTTTATATAGATCAGGGGTGGCGAACCTGCGGCCTGGAGGCCACATGTGGCCTTTTAGGTCCTTAGGTGCAGCCTTTTGACTAAGTACATTTTTCTTTATTAAAGGGATTTTTTCTGTGAAATTATATATTATGGAGATCTGGCCATATGATTTTTCTGCTTAGAAATTTCTCTACTACCTACCTGAATGAAAGTTATACTCCTTTTTTTTGTCATTCAGAGATTTCCATAGTCTGGCACTACTTTAGTCTTTCTAGCTTTAATTCATATTACTTCCTTTCTTATACACTACTTTGTAGCAAACTACTCCCTCCACCTCCATGTTACTAGTTCACTCTGTTGCTTTCACCTGAACTATACCCTCTTACTCTCTCTTCCTGTTCATCTTTTAGTGCCTTATTCAGATGCTACTCCTTCAGTGTATTCTTTTCTGATTTCCCCAGTAGGTATTTTCTCCCTCGGATCTAATATGGCACTTTGTTTTGTACTCAGTGAATTTATCCTATATTATTTATTATAGTTATTTGTCATGTCTTCGTTTCAGACCTTGTGTGTGAGGACTAGGACCTTGACATTAAAGTACTCTAGAGTTGTGGTTTCCCTACAGCTTAGTGTAGCATGGTCCACAGTAGGCATTTGATGAATTTTTGTTGAATTGAATTACTTCGAAGGATTTATTGTAGAGGGAAGAGATTAAAGGCAGGAAGACTAGAAAATAGTTTATGAGTTTTGAACTTAGATGATTACAAAAGGAGTAGGAAGAACTTAGTAGATGGGAGAGATATGCACAGTAGAAAGCAAATTGGATTTGTAATCAGAGAACCTAGGTCCAAATATAGATTCTGCCATTTACTACCAATCTGACCTTGGGCAAATAAATCATTTAACTTCTCTGGAGTTCAGTTTTCTCAACTGCAAAATGAAAGGGTTAAACTAAATGACCTATAAGGTCCTTTTCCAACTCTAAATCTGTGATGATGTTGCAGAAGTAAAACTCATGAGGTAAAGGGGAGCATCTTAAAAAATTCAAGTTTTTAAAAGAGTGTGTGTCTGACGATGTTGGTACCATCCCTAGAGACAGACTTTTCAGAAAATAAAATTTTATTAGTTCTTGTTTTTACTTTCTTCTTTCCTGGAGAGGCATCAGCTATAATAAAGAATTTATAAAGAAAAAAAACCAAAAACAAAAGAAAAAGAGTAAGAAGAAAAATAAATCAACAAAACTAACTAATACATCAGAAACAAACCCTGACATCATAGGTAATATTCCATACCTTATGGACTCCCTACCTCAGCAAAAGAGTAGGGAAAGTATCTTCTCATAAAAAATAGACTTGAGGGAAAAATGAGGACTTCAGTTTTGTCTAGTTTTATCCTTGGCACAAAATACAACCTTAATCCAGGTAGATATTTTCGGAAACAACTAGAAATATAATTAGGTCGTTGAAGAATTGCATTATCAATTTTGGAGTTAATCTTCAAAGAGCTGATAAATATTGAATTGAAACTATGGGAATGAATGATGATCATGGGAAGGAGAGAATATAAAATGAAGCAGTCCAAGGTTAAAAGTTTGAGGTCTCCTTGTGTTTAGAAGGTGAGAGGAGGAAGAGGAACCAGTGGGGGTAAACAGAATGAATATGGAAATGAGAAACCACAGAATTGCAGCGTCATGGAATCTAAGCAACAGCTTTCAGAAGTCACCTCATATTTTAGAATGACAAAATTGTCATTGTGAGACACAAATAAAACTGTGTAAAAATGAATCTGTGGGAAGAGGGGGAGGGTTGTTTGGATTATATTTGGTTATAAACCTAGCTTTTACCAGTTAATATTTACCAGAAATCAGGTTGGGATAAAGCGTTTACTGTAATTTCAAATCAAATATAACAAATTCTTATTTTTGTGACCTGATATTATGGTGATTAGTAATGTCTTAAAATTCATCTTCTAGTTGTTGAATGAAGATCAGCGTGGTGTCACTAGATGGATGGCAGGATGGCTTGGTGGAGGAGGATCAAAAAGTGTACCGAGCACACCTCTGAGACCAAATCAGCAATCAATGTTCAATAGTGTAAGAATGTCTTAATTCTTTCTACATATGGTAGTAAAATGACAATTATACTCATTGCTTTGTCATATAATGCCTTAGAAAGATTGGCTAATGCATTGCAAAGAATAATGGAGTAGGTGACTTCTTAAGCCCCCTTCAACTTTTTGATTCTATGGAGTTAAAAGGCTTGTGTTTAAGTCCATGGATATTACTTAGTGGTTATGTGACCTTGAACGAGTCATATGCATCAGTTTCATCATCTGTAAAATGAGACTTTCATACAACTTGATAGGATCGTTGCAAACATTTTTTGCTTTTTCTACCAAAGTTTTTTTCTGATGCCTCATCATGATGTGGAGACAACTCTAGATTCTTAAAAGTTATGGCAGTGGAGCCCAAGCTTTGGCAAGTCTTACTAAGCTGGAAAAACTTGGAGAATGGACTCAGCAAAGCATGCTTTGTCTTCTGTGTGTGGATCAGTCTCTCTAAGATCCAAGAAACTCATCCCTTGGTTGGCTGATTCACAGTGTTTAGTGTTTTAGCTATGAAAGTGCTTGAAGACAGTCTAAAATTATAGGAGGATTGTGATATGTGAAGGAAGTACTCTTGCTGATCCTTAAAGTTTTGAAGTATTTAATTTGTACATTTGTCATGCTTGTTTTAGTGTTTTCCAAAAAGCTAGTTACCTCCATGCAATATGGCAGTGGAAGAGGATTTAAGGGGAGGAGAATGTTACTATAATTTTTGTTGCCTATGAGTGTAAAGAATTAAAAAATTTTGAAGATGTTAAGTCCATCTGATGGACAAGAATGACAAAATATAGGTTGGGACTATTAGCTTCAGACATTGTTATTTAAATCTTGAAATTTCTGTTGTGATATTCATGTTGTAAAGCAAGCATTGCTCCTTGACACAAAGGTTTAGATTTTTATTAAAATTATACAATTTAAAAATAAGCAGTATTTTACAACACACTTTTTTATTTTAGTCTTTTTCAGAACTCTTTGTGAAGTTTCTGGAGACAGAATCCTGTCCAAGTCTTCCTCCACCAAAGCTCTCTGTTCATGATATGAAACCTTTAGATTCGCCAGAAAGGGGAAAACCAACTCATACTGCATCAGGCAGTTTTACAGGTAAAAACACACACATATATACATATATAGAGAGAGTTTTTGGATTTAGTATATAATTCTGTCTGCGTGGGGAGCTCCCGGTGAAGACTAATACATTTCAGTTCCTTTTTTGCAATTTATATAGTCTTAGAGAATTTGCATGGGGCACAGAGAGGTTAAATGAATTGTCCAGGGTTCCACAGCCAGTATGTGAGGTGGGACTTGAACCCAAGTCTTCTTGACTCTGAGGTTATCTCTATATTTATTTGCCTTGATTCCTCACTAATATTTATTTTTATTATTATTATTATTTATATTTTAAAGTGATGCTAACTAAGATGGAATGTCATTTAAATTTGTTTACTTTTTTTGAAACTGTAAAAGAAACAAATTTTCTCTCCCTGCCTTGCACATAATAGACAAGTATTTATTAAGTTTTTACCTTGAATGATGCAATTGCATGCTAAAATGTTACTGACTTATGTTTCTTGAATGTATGCTTTTGGGGTTTTATTTTAAATTTTTATTAATGACTTTTGTTTTTATATCACTATTATTTCAAATATATCCTTCTCCCCTCACCCATTTAGCCATGTTGTTGGTCGGTTGTTCAGTCATGTCTGACTCTTTGTGACCCTATGGACCATACTGTATATGGGATTTTCTTGGCAAAGATACTGGAGTGGTTAGCCTTTTCTTTATCCAGTGGATTAAAGCAAACAGAGGTTAAGTTACTTGCCCAGAGTCACACAGCTCGTAAGTGAGGCCAGATTTGAACTCAGTTTTTTCTGCCTCCAGGCTCAGCACTCTATCCACTGAGAGCTACTTTGCTGCCCGCTCAGTCATTCTTAGTCACAAATGATAATAATAGCTAGCGTTTATATAGCTCCTACTATGTGTCAGACATTGTGCTAAGCATTTTATCTCATTTGATTATCACAACAATTCTGGGAGGTGGGTGCTGTTATCTTCATTTTATAGTGAGGAAACTAGTACAAACAGGTTAAGTGACTTGACTAGTCAAACTCACATAGCTAGTATCTGAGGCCAGATTTAACTCATCTCTTCCTGATTGCAGGCCCAACTCTCTATCCACTGTGCCACCTAGTTACCCAAATAACAAAGAATAAAAGAGGAAAAAATAGTTTAACAAAACTAACCAATATACCAACCAAGTCTGAAAGTATGTTCAATAAAAGGCATATTTTAAATTTAATAAAAGTTTGTTATATACCTACTGTGTGCAAGACCCATCTGAGACTTGACATTTTAGTAATGATGATGAATTAGTGTTGATTCAGCTGTATTGTCATCTGATTTTCCCATATGATCAAAAGAGTTAGTGTGTAGTATATCCCAGAATTAGGAGTGAAGACTTTGGTCAGGGAATGATGCCATTTTCTTCTATCTAAAGCTTATTAGGTCCATTCTGGGACTCAAACCCATAATCTTATTAACAAAGATTGTACAGACCAACTCAACTAATCTAGGCATAATAGATAGATATAAAATGCTTTCAGGTGACACAGTTTTGATCTAGTGTCCTGTGGACCTGATTGCCACTGAAAATAGTTGTCATTGAAGAGATTTCTTTTGTTTTTGGAATCCTCTTTTTCTCCTTGTCCAGAAAAAAATTAACCTCTATAAACTTGGGTGTTACATTGTAAATAATATAAGGATACTGATTGTTGCATACTAGTTTTTAAAAATTGTATGTCACACATCCCAATCCAAGCAAAAAGACAGAATTTTCACTCTGTGATATTAAAAAAAAATTACTTCAGTGGTCACTCAAGTTATTCTGTACCTTAACTGAAAATATCCTTTTTATAGGGAGGGAAATGTTGATTGTTCTCTCTTGTATAGATGTTAATGAAAACCCTTAGTGTTTGCACTGTAGCTGCAGTTTGAATTAAGAATAATCTATTCTTGGTCATTCAGGATTTGGCATTTTGAGGTACTTTCCATGGTTGTACTGTAACAAAATTTCCTTTTCTCTAAAATTGGGCTTTTACTGGTGATGATAAAAAAAGGGGGCAATGGAAATGCACGTGGTGGGTATAAATAGACTGTAAGACATTATCAACAGTGACTTGCAAGGAAGAAATAACATGAATGACTAGAAAATGTATGATGAAAAAGGGTAACAGATGGACAACATAAGTACTTACACTTGTATCATGAAATGTTAAAGACCTGGAAGAAAGTCTGGAACATATTTGGTAGATCCTCTATGAAATATTTATGGGAATACACGACTAAGAATTACGTAGGATGAAAATGTGTGTTTTGCTTGTGATCTTTTCTCTTAGATGAAATATTTACATTGATGGGATCACAGATTCATTAAAGAATTGCATTTTTCTTATTGTTTAGAAAAATCTAAACTCAGATATTTTATCTTTTTTAGTAGCAAGGTGGCAGATAAATATAACAATTGGAGCCTTTTTACATGTTAATCATTACCAAGTTTTGTATTATCAAAATTAAATGATATTTAAATGTAAATGAACCCCTCTGAACCTAAGTAGGATAGCAGACCACTTGAAGCTTTTCCAGGTTAAGACTTCCCCAGACCTAGAGTTCTAGTGGCACAATCTTTGAAAAACTCACATCACTTCCACACCAGAATAAAGAATTTGAGTGTACCCTCCCTCCCCTTGGAGGATAATATAATAATAATAATGAACATTATAAACCATACATATTACCCTTTGGTATGTTCATTCAGTCCTTATTTTAAAATATCTACATATGTACTGTGGAAGTTTTAGTTACCTCTCAAGTGTATGCATCTCCATTTGTATAGTCAAGAAACAAGTATTCTTTTGAACAGTTAGAGCATTAAAAATGTGCAGAATATCACATTGGTTAAAATTTATACGGATATTGAATTTAAAAGTTTATTAGTGTCTAACTCTTGTTCCTTTTTAAAAATAGATTGAGAATTCGTGTGTATTAATCATGTTTATGTTACTATAAATTATATATCAAATTTTGCCATTTTATTACATTTAGAGAATAAGCTTATGCTAGCATGAAATGATTTTTATTAAGAATATGATGCTAAGTAAATCCTATTTTTGTATCTTAGATACAAAAGGATCTGGAACCAGTAGAAGACCAGATGTAAATCCATTCTTGGCACCACGTTCTGCAGCTGTACCTCTGATTACCCCAGCTGTGCTTGGAGCTGGTGGAACCAGGCATTTGCTTATGAAGCCCATTTCAGATGCTTTGCCCACATTTACACCTCTGCCAGTGTTACCTGATAACAGTGCTGGAGCTGTGCTCAAAGATCTCTTAAAGCAATAGATGATGCTGAAAGCTGAGTTAAGATATGGCACTTTAAAGAAGTCATGAACGCTATTTGTAAATACCTTACCACAAGAGGCCTTTTGAAAAAAGTCATATATTTGTTTGAATTTTTTACTTATTTCCTCTAAATTTGATTATGAAGTAGTGAATGCTTTTGGGAATTGTATGTGTCCCAAATCAAGTGCCCATTGCCCAGTATTTTTTGTTGTTTTTGTTTTTTTCCTTACTGATTCTGCAAGCTCAGTTTTAGTTGATAGAAATTTGGTTTGTCTTGGTTCTTAGGGAAAAAAAAATTATTAGTAGCCAAAGTACTGGAATTTGTAGAGTAATTCTAGACTTCTTTGTATAGTAGAGAAATCAGAATCAAAACATGTTCTAAGCCGCTCTAGAGCACTTAATGTGGGCAGACCTAAGAAAAGATTTGAGGATTTTTTTCCTTTCTTAAATTATGACAGAGTTAAGCCGTGCCAAAGTGGAATGTGCTGCTTGATTCTAAGAGTTAATATTTCCAAAGGGTGGCCTATTACTAATATCTAATATGCAAAAAGAAACCATTTTAAATTGAAATTCTAAGGTGTCTGTCCAAATTAGAAATTCCCTATTTTTGTTTTTTACTGGCTTGTAATCATTAGCTTTTTTTAAATGAGGCAGTTGGTGTCATGTCTAGTTGTGTTATAATTGTAGTTAACAAATAGATGAAGTAAAGTAGTTTACTAACTGTATACAAGTTAATTATATAATGGTACATTTAGTGTTAAGATACCATTTTTTTCTGATTCGAGGGTTTTTTGTGAGACACACTAAGAAAGTCAAGTTTTCCTGATGGTTGTTTTTGACTGTGACACAATCTAGACCACCAGCACTAAGAGTTTGAAACTAGAGAAAGAATATTTCTTTAATTTTATATAAAACCTTCAAAAAGAAATAATGCCAACCTGGAATTTAATTGATTGTACCAGGATGTTAATATTTGTATTAGTAGTTGAAGATGTACATTTAAAAATGCATTTCTTGCCATTTTTATATATTTCCATGTGGATTTAAAATGTAAACATCTGTATAGAAATGAAAAGTTAAAAGATACTTATCCAAATATGTAAATAGGTCTGGTTAATGCCAGAGCTGAAGCTGGTTATTTGTAAATTTTGCTATAATTAACTGTATACTTTATACTCTGTGAGACAGACTGAAAGATTTTTAATTATATGTGGACAGGTAGAAATTGCCTTTCTGCAAAATTAAGTAACTTAGGGCAATGCTGTCTCATATTCAGATATCATTTAACTTGTTTTATCATCTAACTAGTTTTATTACCATTCCTTGTTTAGTCTATGGAAGTTATCTTTCAAGTTCTATATTAGAACTGTCACATTATTCTATTACTGTTTTCCATTGTTTCCCCATGAAATTTTTACTGTTATAGAACATATTTAAAATACAAGATTGTATAGAATCTTCCAAAAACAATAAATACAACAAGCTTTTTGTTTTTTATTATTTATTTAAGTGAAGATTAAAAGATACAATTGTTTAACTTAAATTTTTTCAGTGAACTGAATATAACTCCATTTTTTGTGTAAAATTTATTTAGGGTTTTTTTTGGGGATACTTTAGAAATTGAAATGAAGTTTGTGAAAATTGAAACTTATTCAGTTAAAGTAACTTTTCCATTCAACACTCATATTTCTTTTCTAGGCTGAAAACATAAAGATTATGAATAATAATGAAAGAGCTCTTACAGTTTTTGAAATTTGCTGTTTGGAAATTCATTACATGTCTTGAATATACCAAAGAAGCAATAGGTTTAAAACTCATTTAAATATTTTTTATTTTTTTTATTTTTGGAGTGTCACAGTAGTGTAAATCTCTTCATTCTGGTTTTGTTTCTTAAATGTACCTTGTGATAATACTCTGAGTCAATGAAAATGTTTCCTACTATTGTTGAAGCACCATTTCTTTGGAATAACAGAAAAAAAAACATTTCCTAAATGTTTAAATAAAACTTAGGACATATAAATTTTTATTTGGTAGGGAGGGAGGAAGTAGTGGAGTATGCAGAAATGTTATCTCATTGTTTTCTATCACAGAAGAGATGTATAATGATAACATTTTGGGTCATTTCTTCTCTAGCCCAAGTTGTTTTAGGTTTTTTTCTTTCCTGTGACTTAAAATAAGTATAAAAGTAGTTATGTAGTTATGCACTGACTACTTAGCTACCATAATAAAGAGTGCAGTTTTACATAATTATCATTTGAATGACAGTTGTCTTTAAAATTATACTGATTTAGATGTGTGCTATTACAACTAACTTCCCACTGTTAGTGATTATTATCAGGTTAAATCTTTTTAAATAGCAGTGTCATTCTATTCTGACATCTCATGCTTTTCTTCTTAAAACTCTTAATGTTGAACGAATGAATGAGTGAGTGAATGAATAAAAAGGATGAAAAAATATTAAGTGCTTATTGTGTGTCTGGCGTGATGCCAATCTACATTGTTTTAGAAGTAAACCATATATTATTTTATCAGAAGGGATACCATTTTAATGTTAGTACTTAAACATTGCTGAGCCTAAAAGTGATTTCACTGCTTTCTTGTATTTAAACCTAGTGGAAGTTTGTGGTTGAATTCTGACTTAAAAGCCACAGTTTTTCACAACATTCCTAATTGTTTAACCGCTATACTACAATTTAAAATTTAACCAGCCATAATTAAAAATGACCGAAACATAGTAATGCACCATTTGACTGCTTGATTTCTGCTTGCTTCTATAATGGATAAAAAGAATTTGGTCTGAAAAGGGAGAGAATGGTTTTGTTGCAACCAACTATTTTAAAAAATTAACTTTTTTTCCCATGGCAAAATCTCTCCACTTTTTTTTTTTAAACAGGGAAATGCCATCTATTTGGAGAAAAGATTGTCAAAACAGTTGCCAAATGAATAGAAAAAATAGCTTGTGTCTTGGAGAGCAGTAATCAGAACTATTTTAGAATGCTAAAAACAAATTAAAAACTTTTGAATTGTGTTTTTCAAAGGTAGTAAGATTTTTTTCACCTTATATGTTCATTTAAAAGGTTTTCCACTTGCCAAAACTATTTATAACATTTCATAAATATCACACCAACATATTTAAAGAGAAGCATGTTCCTGTTTGGGGTGGGGGGAAGGGGAAACTCTGATGCTGTGGGCCACATATCTAGGAAGTCACATACTTCTGACAGTTGTATTTATTTGTTGTCAGCCTGTAAGATATAATTTTCAAAATTTTCCTTACTTAGTATTGGAAATTTATTTTTTAGGTTTTAGAGAAATAGTTTATTTGACAGCTGGAAATTTACAACATAGCCTTCAGATCAGTTTGTGCTTTATTAAGCCACAGGCTAATGTATTTCTGAACTTCTTAGGAGCATCGCAAGTCCTAAAAAGCTCCAAACAAAGATGATATATGTAAGTTGGCAATGTATAACACAATAAAAAAATTAGCAAGCAGCTGCTGGCTTTTTGTTTAAGAGGGAGAAAAATGACTTACACATGTTGTTTACAGCAGCAGTGAGTGAACTGCTGCACCCAACTTCCGCACGTTTATAGTTGAAAACCAGATATTTCTAGTTATGTTGTACAGTGTAAGCTTTGGAAATGTAAGTATAAAAGTTTTTTTTTTGCTTTTAGTTTCAACAAATCAAGATGATGTATGAAAGTATGAGAAATGGTGAGAAAAGGGGTCCAGATACTATGGATTTTGAATTATTTTCCTGCTGCCTGATATAGGCCTGATGTTAGGTTCTTAATTCTTTAAGGTCATAGATCTATTTGTGAGTTTTATCTTTATTTTCCTATAATTTGATTTATGTGAACTCTTCACAATAAGAGAAATCAATATATTAAGTATCTACTGGATTCAAAGCACTGTCTTAGGTATTGGTAGGAAAAATTTAGATAAGAGATAGACTTCGCCCTCAGTGAGGACATAAGACAACAACACATACAGTTAAAATAACTAATATTTAAGACCAATGCCTTAGAAAGCTACAAACTGAACTGTAATTTTAAAGTCCAAGAGGTAAGGCAATATTACTGAGTGGGGAGCGGTGAAGGCTTCATAGAGGAAGCAGCATTTGTATTGAGATTTAAAGGATGAGTAGGGAAAGATTGTGAGGGAGAAAATAATCTACTAAGTTGGTTATGTTCAGGGGGAAAGAAAATAGTTAATTTTTTCTGAAGTGTAAGGTATATGGAGTGAAGTAGAGTAGAGTAATAGAGGATAAGAGAAAAAGATAAGTATGGTGGTGCCAGAATATGGAATGCCTGGAATGGAATGCCATATAGAGGAGTTTGAACTTTACTCAGTGAATAACAGGAAACTACTGATGATTTTTGAACATAAAGATTATGACCAAATCCATTCATGACAGAAATTCTACTGATAGCAGCATAAAGATAGATTGGAAGGTTAAATAGAATTGAGGCAGGAAAGTCCTGTAAGGAGGACTATACTGTAGTGAAAAGAGCACTGGCTCCTTTGCACATCTCTATTTTGCCAAAAGTACTGAGATAGTGTATCTGTTGTGGAGTCAAGAAACATGAGTTTAAATCCTCACTCTGTTATTTATTCCTTGTGTGGTCTTGGGCAAGTCATTTGTGTTTCAGTTTTGTTAATTAAAATAAGGGTTAGATTTGACCCTCAAGGGCCCCTCCTGACTTTAAAATCCTATGATTCTAGTGGTTCAGGAAGGTATTAACTGGGACTTATATTAGGGGATGGAAATAAACAGTAGATATGAGATGAGAAATAGACAGTAGATATGAAGAGGTGGAATAGGTAGGAATTTTAAGTGATTGAATATTAGAAGTGAGGAAATGGCAGAGTCAAAGATATGGGAGACCAAGTGGTACCACAGTACTATGGGCAGAAAAAATGAAGTCTGGAGAAGAAGAAGGTTTCGGGAAAAAAATTAAGCTCCACTGGGAGGTGAATATGGATGTGTTATTGGGGACATCCTGATGGAGATGTCTTTTACACAATTGAGGCTGCAGATCTGGAGATAAGAAATGAGGTTTTATTGCCAAAAACCTCATAATAGTTAATTAGAACAGTAGTCTGTGTGACCCTGGGCAAGTCAACCCCAATTGCCTAAGGAAAAAAAAAAGAAAAAGAACAGTAGTAATATGATTATTTAGTCTCAGAGGGTCATCAGACAAACTAAAAAGCAGATTAGAACTGTTTGGACCTTCAAAACTTGACCCTGACCATTTCTAATAGAGTAGTAGATTTGAAGTTGGAAATTACTTTATGGGTCCATCTATTGCAACCCCCTCATTTTATAGATGAGGAAGTTTAGGTCTGTAGAGGTTAAATGACTTACCCAAGATCACACAAGTTCTAAGTGGAAGATTGAGGATTTGAACCCAGATCCTCTGAATTTAGAGTCATTAATATCTGACATTTGTGTATACCTTCTCATTTGATTGTCACAACAAACCTAGGTAGGTGCTGTTCTTGTTTTTACCATTGAAGAAACTCTGGTTGAAAGAGGTAATTGATGCAATGGGCCACATATCTAGGAAGTGTCTGAGGAAGGATTCACCCCTGGTGTTCTTGGGCCCTTTTCTTACTAAGTCACACTATTCACAGTAGAACTGGAAATGCTATAGGTAGAGTTTTGCAAATCTTATAATAACTTACATAAAATTATTATTATTGTTAATAGTAGTAATAGTAGTAGTAATTACTTGCTCCTTTAGGTCATGTTAATATACACGTTACTCTGAACTTTGTAGTATGTCTTTGTTCCACTTTTGTAGATCACCCTGTATCCTGGAAAGCCATTAAACTGAAAAAACAACATATACATAGTAGTTGGAGGAATATTTTAAAAAAGTGAATAAAAAAGAATGATTTACGTTGAATACTTTGCATACTCCAGGACTGATTTACTAGTTTTGTCCCTAATGTTGGGCCTTTATGTACTTGAATAACAGTGCTTTGTCTTTAATTTAAAAATAAATGTTCTTAGGAAATTGTCAAAATACTTTTTCTAAACTATCTGATAATCTGAAGAGAAAGTGGTTTTTATTTTTATTGCAGTTGATGACATTGCATCAAGTTAGATTTGAATCAAGAATTGAATAATTTAGATAGTTAGAAAATTAAAATCTTAACAATTTGAAAATATACCTGATACTTTACAAAAAGGACATCTAAAAGTGGACTATTTCCTAAGGCACTGGTAGTCTTGATCTGTGTGAAAAATGGGACATTTATCATTCTTTTCTGAAAAAAATGCAAGGGATTTAGATGTTCAGAGGAACACCATTATGTCATTCCCTCAACCAGCTGCTATTGACTCTCAAGTGCTTTTGGACATTTTACGTAAAAATGACAATATTTGACATGGCAAACAGGATGGAGGACTAGGCATTTTCTCTTTCAAGTCAGGGTCCAAGAGAGGCTGGTGACAAATGAATTTTTCAACATGGGAAGAGGCTGACAGTT